GCTTCATCACTGTTATTAACTTTTTGAATTCTGAAATACATGCACATAAGTACAAAATTAAAATACTTTGTTTTTTTTCGTAATTCCAAAATATTCTAAAATAAACAGTGTTTCCTTCTTGTAATAATTGTATTTAAAGAAAATTTCAGAAATAAAGCACCTTCAATTGCCATACAGCCTTTGGAGTGAGTTCCTCATCATTTTAAAGCCATTTATGTAGCGATGATGACCTGAATGAATAGTTTGAAAATAGAAAACTTTGTTACCTCCATTTAAAATACACATCCAGACTGGCTGGTGTAGCTCAGTAGTCGAGCGTTGACCCATGAATTAGGAGGTCATGGTTCGATTCCCAGTCAAGTCAGAGCACATGCCCGGGTTGTGGGCTCGATCTTCAGTAGGGGGCGTGCAGGAGGCAGCCCATCGATGATTCTCATCATTGATATTTCTAGCTCTCTATCCCTTTCCCTTCCCTTCTGAAATCAATGGAAACGTATTTATAAAAAGATAATAAAATATGCAGCCATCTTTTTAGGCTTGGGTCTAATATATACTGTTTTCTTCCTATTTAACATTTATGGCTTATGTCAGGGGCTCTAAACCTTTAGTATGCTAAAGATTAGCCCAGGGAGGTTGCTAAAGTGCAGATTCTCAGGGTCCTCTCCCTAGACATCCGGGGTCAGTGGGTCTGGGTGGGGCCCTGGAATCTGCATGTTAACATCACCACAGGAGATTCCCATGGAAGTGCCCACAGACCACACTTTGCAAAACATTCATCCATCACTTAAGGGAACCCAGCTTTTTTATATATATAAGTGATAATCCTAGGAAGTACAGACCTGAGATCTGATGACTCTCCCCCACACCCTACCTTTATAAACACCTATACTATGTTACATGCCTTACAGTGTGGTCCTCTGTGTACTGACCTGCCTTCTCTCTCAGCCTTTGGAGAGTGAGATTCAAGTCTTCATCTAACCCAGTGCTCCACTGTTGTGAAATAAAAGTATGTGACAGAAACCAAAGCATACAGTTCAAATGTTACTCTCTTGGCTTAGGGATCAAGTTTCTCTGCCGGCTGTGTAAGTTCCTAGCCTCTTCCCCCCACAGAGCTCAGCTATGGATAAGCACAGGGCTAACCCCCTCGACTGCTAAACCTACAGGGGCTGCTGTTTAACTTAAAGATGTGTGTATAAGTCACTCTGGCAGCTTTCTGTGCCTTTCCAGGACCTCTGATGAGCCCTTTCCTCTGTGAATCTTAAAGTGAAAAGACCATCTGAAAAAGCGGCAGAGTGGGTTTTCCATATTACAAGAATTTTTAAGTGTGATGGGAAGAGACCTACGACGCACAGCGGCAGCTCTCTGCAACCCCCTGGTGGCAGGATGCTCCATGCATCCCAGCCCCACCCGCATCCCGGCTCTCACAGTGGACTCAACAGCAGAAGCTCATTAAGTGTCCCCAGCAGCAAGACCAGGGAGCCCACAGATATTTGCTGGTAAATAGGTTAATAGTGTGAGTGGCAGGAAACAAAAACACACAGTTAGAATTTTACTTTCTCCTGCCCAACCAAGGATTACTGGCTCTACCAACTGTGTAACTTCCTAATTTTTTTTGTACAGCTTGTGAGCTTACTCTTAATGAACAGATCGCCTAGACTCAAAGCACAATCCTCATAGCACAAAATATAAATGCCTCAGTCATCACTGGTAAGACTCCAGAGCTTTTGCAGAATTGTCATTCATCCCACCCAGACCTGGAGCCCTCAAAGTGCTTGTCCCAGAGGCACGACTGAGACGGCTTAGCCTGAAGAACGGAGGGGACTGAGAGAGATGGCTCATGGTCTGGAGGACCCTCAGCGGCCACCGAGATGAGAATAAGCACATCCTGGGGTGGCGATTAGGGGGGCGGCTCAAGTTCTTTGGGTAAAGAACTGCCTGGAAGAGACTGACTCTTATGTCTGGATTCTTCTTCTTCAGGAATCACTAGGTGGGGCAAATTTAGTCAAGGAATAAATGCAGCCCTGCCCAAGGCCGGGGGGCCATCTGATGGCATTCTGGGGTCTCTTCCAGCCCTCCAAGTAGAAGCTCACTTAATAGCTCCTGTGACTAGGCCAGGTGGGACAATGTGAAGATGAGCAAAAGCCAACATACTTGTAAGATTCAGATAGAAACGACAGGAATCACTAGGCGGGGCAAATTTAGTCAAGGAATAAATGCAGCCCTGCCCAAGGCCGGGGGGCCATTTGATGGCATTCTGGGGTCCCTTCCAGCCCTCCAAGTAGAAGCTCACTTAATAGCTCCTGTGACTAGGCCAAGTGGGACAATGTGAAGATGAGCAAAAGCCAACATACTTGTAAGATTCAGATAGAAACGACTTCACTCCTACACACAGCTCTCGTGGGGAGTACACGCAGCTCTGAGGTTCAAGTTTTTTGATGACAGAGAAGCCTTTTAAGGAGGCTGCTTGCTGGGCTAATGGTCAGGCCCTGCGTGGGAATTCTCAGAGCAAAAGGCCTTTCTAAATTCTGGAAATCAAGATCGCACCTAAAGCTTAATGGTCTGATCAGAATGGCAAATACATACAGTCCCTTCCTCTCTTCCCCGCCAAGCATTTAATTGGTTCACACCTCACTTGTCCTAGAAGTTAATCCTGGCATTATGCAACCTTTGAGAAGAAATGAGCAAGGAGAGATGACAAACAGTTCCCAGAAAAATCCCAAGAAAGAGGGGCTTTGGGCAACCTAGGTTCTGCCTCATGAAAAAAAACAGTGACATTTCCAAAGAGCACTAATGGTCCACTCATAAGTTGTTCTCTTCTACACTTATGAGAAGTCTCTACCTTGCTGGGATTAGTCATTGAATCTGATGTTCCTAATTGAGAGTTACAGGCACCTTGTTTTAGGGGAAAGTCTGAATTATAGTCTTAAAATGCAAATTAATTCTTTCCTAGAACAATGCTCATTGATCAAAGATATTTCTTCTACCCTGGGCCCGTGTGGCTCAGTTGGTTGAGCGTCAATCAATGTTTCTCTCTCTCCCTCTCCCTTCCTCTCTCTCTCTCTAAAAATCAATAAAAACATATTTTTAAAAAATATTTCTTCCTTGAATTTAGCTTTTATAAAATGAAAAATCCCAAGTAAAATATGAGGAAAATGCCTGGCTGGCATGGCTCAGTGGTTGAGCATCAACCTATGAACCAGGAGGTTGTGGCTGGATTCCTGGTCAGGGCACCTGCTCGGGTTGTGGGCTCAATCCCCAGTCGGGGGTGTGCAGGAGGCAGCCAATCAATGATTCTCTCTCATCACTGATGTTTCTATTCCTCTCTCCCTCTCCCTTCCTCTCTGAAATCAATAAAAATATATTTTTAAAATATCAGGGAGCCCTGGCCGGTTTGGCTCAGTGGATAAAGCATCAGCCTGGGGACTGAGAGGTCCTGGGTTCGATTCCAGTCAAGGGCATGTACGTTGGTTGCGGGCACATCCCCAGTAGGAGATGTGCAGGAGGCAGCTGATCGATGTTTCTCTCTCATCGATGTTTTTAACTCTCTATCCCTCCCCCTTCCTCTCTGTGGAAAATCAATAAAATATATTAAAAAAAATATCAGGGAAATGAAGAAAGCCTTAATAAAATCAATCAGAAGACCAAATCATGCATCTTCAATATAATGAAAACTTGCATGTTTGGTAGGGATTCTGTTTCCCATACTCTCTACAGATCCACTTCAGACAGAAGTCATGAAAGAAAAGACTTCCTTATGAGCTAAAGGGACTTACTGCTCAATTGGCTGACTCTGAGGGACAGTCAAACTCCCAGTCAGCAAAGGGCTGGCGAGAGGAGCAATGCATAGCAGTTTTCAGCAATGGCTGAAACCCCTGGGGTTAGCTGGCCACAAAATGTGACAACTGAGAACATCTCCTCTGTACTCCTTCTATAACTAAACTTCTCTCTCTCTATTACTGGACACGCTTATTTTATTGTGTCCACCACCCCACTCCTGGCCAGACTGTATGCTCGGAGAACTGGGGGTATGTCTGCTTTTCTCATTATCATATCTCAAGCACCTATCAGAGCACTGGCATTCAATGAACAAAAGCTAACTTTAAATTGAGCTGAGATTTTGCTGTAATAAATTAATCAGGCAAAAATGGAAAAAAAATTAATAGTAAGGCCTCCATTACTTAATAATATCTCATAGATATTAAAGTTACTTTCATCGTATCAGAATTAATAACTGAATTCTGAAGTGGGAAATCTGCTGAGGAATCATTAATTGCTTAAAATCTTAAGTTTGGAAAACACTATTGCTTTAAAACTAGAGTCCTCTTACTCCTCAGTGTGATCCATTTAAAGGTTTTTAATGGTTTCCTTTGCTCAATTTAAATGAACCCAAACTCTAACTCTGTACCGGAAGGAGAAGGAACACTGAAAGCAAACCTATTACCACTATTTACAGTTTCTCACCAGAGGCCCACGGGCAGAGGCACTGCTTTCTCTAAACAGGAAGCCACCACGCAGCCAGCGAGTCTGGATTCCGCTTCCAGGGCTCCCCTCTGTACACACTCGAGAATTTTTTCCGGCTGACTTCATCATTAATAACTATTTATCAAATCTGCCCATATTGACTAGGTGAAATCCCTCCCCACACGTCACCAGGACTTTGTCTTCTCTCGTCTTCCTTCACTGAGTCGGGGCAGGATCAATGAGGAGAGTGGAGGATGGAGATGGGCAATGGGCTCTATCTCTGAAGAGTAGCTGTTGTAAAGATTTTTTTTTTTTTGCAATACTATTAATGACCAAAAAAGCAAAACAAAACAGAAAGAAAAAACCAAAATTCAACTTAAACTTCCCAGGGGAAAAAAATGCCAGAACTATGAAAAGACTTACAGAGAACATTTACTTTTAGTGTACAGTCCCATGGACCTGATCATCACAGTCAGCTCCCCAGTGCCTCTATAGTGCTCTTAAACCATCTCTCAAAATCAGGACACAAACAGGTCTCCTCTCCAGTATGTAATTTTTATAATTGCATCAGATACACAGTGAGTATCTTTCAGGGAATTTCACCAAAACCAAAGAGAAGTTCAAAGATAAAACTGCAGCAGATCAGGGAAAACAGGTAGAACTGCGCTGTCACAGGACTAGCCTGCAAGCCGTCCTTAGTCTGGGGCACCTGAACAATCCCACAGGTCCACGGCCAAGGGCTAGGAGGGCCAAGGCGTGCAGCAGAGCTGCTCCTATCTCCCTTCCAGGGGTCTAAGCTGTAACTCGCGCTCTAACTGCTCTGCAGTCAGGGTGCCCTGGATGGCTTCGCAGCCCGGGTTGAACACAGAGTAGGCGCTTTTCTCTCCCTCCTTCTTCTCCCCGGGACCTCGTGTCCCGACATACATCCAATAGAACAAGGACAGGACAAAATAAGCCAGGCCAAATTCCAGTTCCACAAACAGTCCCAGCAGGATCAACCAGAGAAGAACCTTCAAGAAGGTGATGCTGGTCAGGAAGGACTGGTCCCGCGGCAACGGTGGGGGAACGGCTGTCCTCCGTGGGGGCTGTGGCGTGCTGCTCCCAGGCTGAGCGGCTTCCTAGGACACAAACAAGCAAAGGTAAACATAAAGGGTAATGAGGCTGAGAGGATGGAAACCAATCTGGAGAGGCAGCTCTCATTGTCCCCGGAAGGCTTCTGGCTCATTGATTTCTATTTCCTTGCTCTGCTCTCTAAAACAATCATCTCCCAAAGAGCTCTTGTGCCCTGCTCCGACGGGCCCCAAACCGGTCAGCACTTACTGAGATGACCCGATGAAAACCCTACAGCACGCAGATGGGTTCCCTTTGTGGGAGGCACTTCCTCAGAGGAGTCTGCTGCTAACAAGAGCTAATGTGCGCCCCACACAAAAGCTCCCCAGTCATTGGTAATGCAATAGCCACGCGTATGGTTCACACAGAATCGATATGGTTGTTGATTTGATTAGATGAGCTAAAGTTTTGAGTGACATGATTCTAAAATGAGGACTACACCAAAAACAGGAAAGAAAACCCCCTCTACATATTAAAAAATAAAAATGGCTGTTTCAGCTACAACCTTTCCATCCTATACATACCCAGGCCAAGGCAGTGCCTCCTAAGTGGACTCTCGCCTCCTATCTCTTCCCTCCCCACGCCATCCTGTGTACATACAGTTGCTAAATGAATCTCCTAAAACACCCATCAACCTCCTGTTCACAAGCCTTCAACAAATTTTTATTGCCTAGAGGTTAAAATTTAAACTCTTTGGGCTGCAATCCAAGGCCTTCCATTTATTCAACAGATAGAAATGCCAATACACAGGCTGCTGTGCTGGTGCTAACGGGAGACACAGGGATTTAGGCCATTTTAGGGAGCTGGGTCTCTACTCCAGTATTTTTTCCAAATCTCTTTGGGTTTGACCTAGAATAAAAGATACATTTTATACTGTGACCCAGCATGCATGTATATGTATATGTATATGTATGTATGTATGTATGTGTGTATGTGTATGTGTATGTATATGTAACAGAAAAAAAGTTTCACAAATCAACAAATATCTTCACATCATATGAAGCTGTTATTTTCTATTCTATTTTTTTATTTTAACAGAGGACTAGATTTCTCTAAATTGATGTCACCACTCACTAAAGGGTCATGACTTACCATTTGAAAAATAGTCTAAAAAATTTCCTGCACAGCACAACCTGCAACTGTATAAATGAACCCTCTACTCCAGTTCCACTGGTCTCACTGCCAAGGCCATTGCCCGTCTGGCCTGGAATCGCCTCTGGTCCTCTCCACGCCTCGGCTCCTTGCCTTCCTTCCAGGCAGGCATGACTGGTGCGCTGTGCATGCCTCGACCTTCTCCACCACCGAGAAGGTGCCCTCAGCCTTCCGAGCACCGGCTGGCTCTTTCTCACTGAGAACCAAACTGTTCAGCTAGTGTCTCTTTAATTTATTTATTTTAGTAAGTTAAACTCACAAATAAAACAGAAACAGACACAGATACAGAGAACAGACTGACAGCTGTCAGGGGCTGGGTGGAAAAGGTGAGGGAATAAGCAAAGAAAAAAAACTCATGGACACAGGCAGCAGTGTGGTGATTTCACTGAGGGAAAGGGCGGTGGGGGAGGGAGGAGAGGGTAAAAGGGAGGAACTGGTGATAGAAGGAGACTGGACTTGGGGTGGTGGACACACAATACAATAATACACAGATGACTATTAAAAATAAATTGTCTCAAAAAAATAATAAACCCGAGGTAAAATAATACTGAAGTATCTTTTTTTTATCCTTACCTGAGGATATGATTATTGATTTTAGAGAGAGGGGAAAAGAGAGAAATAGAGAGAGAGAGAGAGAGAGAGAGAGAAATATCCATGTGAGAGAGAAACATCAATTGGTTGCTTCCCATACTCGCCCTGACCGGGGATCAAACTCGTAACCTTTTGGGTGTAGGGGACGGCGCTCCAACTAACTGAGCCACCTGGCCAGGGCTGAAGTGTCCTTTTAATATAGGTCACCTGTATCCCTAGATTGTCACCATGAAGACTGCCATATATTATCCTTGGTTGTCTCCAGAGCCAAACAGCACCCACACATAGGTTCTCAATCCACAGAAGAACTTTTAGTTCATTTCTTCAGTTATATCTCCTCTTCTTCACTTCATTTTATTTTTTTAGGATGTTCTTTTTTTTTTTCTTCACTTCATTTTAAAAGGGATCACAACTCTATTTGGTCTCAATAAAATACACAGATCACCCTGGCCAGGTGGCTCAGTTGGTTGGAGCATCATCCTGTACACTGAAAGGTCACCGGTTCAATTCCCAGTTAGGGCACATACCTGAGTTGTGGGTTCGGTCCTGGTTGGGGCACGTGCAAGAGGCAGCCAAAAGAAGTTTCTCTCTCACATTTCTCTTTCTCTCTCTCTCTCTCTCTCTCTCTCTCTCTCTCCCCTCCTTCCTTTCTCTCTAAAAATCAATAAAAACATGTCCTCGGGTGAGGATTGAAAAAAAATACAGATAATCTGATCTATATTGCTTCAGAAATTCTATTTTGTTAGAACCTTCTTTTTTTAGCATCAATACTGTAATTACCTTTTCAGTAAAGGCCCTTAACATATCATCAGCAAACACCCCACCCCAACAGACATTTATTAAATAGAAAAAGGTCCCTCTCTGATTTGACAGTGTACACAGTAGGGAAATCCCTCAGGTCTTAGTGGGAACTAATATAATCAATTTATATTTAAGACTGCCAGGCAGAGAATGGGCTGCGAGGGTAGACGTAGGGAAATTGTTAGTAGCAGGAGGCCCAGGAAGAGAGGAACAGGCAGGGATTAAGGTGGTGACCCAGATGTCAGAGAGAAATGATGGACTGATGGATACAGAATACATTTTGAATGTGTATGACTTGAAATTCATAGCAAACTGAATTTATTTTACTATTGAGGGAGTATAAAAATAATGCTTGCACCATCATTTATTTATTGAGTGCCTTCAAAATGCCTGATCTCCTGTAATCCAGGCAGGCACTGGTATTCCCAATTTACTGGTAAGGGATCACTGAGACGGTAAGTAACTCCCCTCAAGTCACACACCAGGTGATAGGCAGAGATGAGGCTGGTCTAGGATCTGAGAATGGTCTCCCTCCAAAGCCTTGTTACTTCCTTAGGAGCCTTTGTGGGGGATGGTAAAGGGGAGGGTAAAGAGCTAGAAGAAGGTGGGGAAGATTAAACGAACTGGCAAAGGGACAAAGAAAGGAGAGGAGGGATATGGGACGTCCTCAGCCTCGCTTGGCCTTTGTTCCAGTTCCAGGGCACCTTCTGTTGTGTGGCAGTGGGAGGGTTTGTGGTCTCACAGCACATGTAGGCACAGTTTAGGGAAGATGCTTCCATTCCCCAATACCAAGCTGCTTCTCACCTCCAGGCCTCTACACTTGTACTAGTATTTCCCTCTGAGACGAATGCCCCTGTCCCCTCCCGTCACCTGGCTGGCTCCCTCTGCTCCTATAAACCTCAGCAAAAACGTCACATGTGGCCTGGCCTTGTCCCTAGGTTTCTGCAAGAGTGGCTCCTTCTTATGAAATGCCACCTCCTGGTGAGGTCCTGCCTGCCTACCCAATTTAAAGTAGCACTCTGCCCCCCTCACCCCAGTTCACTACCAGTGTTTGCTCCTCATTCCCCTTTCATAGCATTCACCATTCTCTTCTTTCATTGTCTCCTCTCCAAAAGCTGGTTCTGTGAGAGCAGCATTTTGTGTGTCGCTTTCACAGTGTCCCCCCAGATTGAGGGCAGTAGCTGGAACACAGTGGGCACATGACAGGATTTTGCTGAGTGGTGGTGAGGGAAAGGAAGACACAACAAGGTGACTGCTGGATTTGAGGGGCTGATGCAAAGACTGTGCTTAGCCAGGTGACTCCAAAGGAAAAGCACATTTGAGCAGTGGGCCAACCTGAGCCAAGGGTTGGAGGTGAGGAGTTGCAAGCCAGGTGTGGGCAGTAGGCCCTGGACTAGATGGTGCCCTGTGGCTGGTGGGGGATATGCCTGGGAGAGAGGCAGGGAGTTTCTACAGGATTAAAAAAAGTTACAAGCTTTTGTCCTATTGTGGCAGAAGCTTGTCACAGAAAGGAAGAAATTTGAGAGTGGGGGAAGGAGGATGTGTTCGCTTCCTTATCAATGACTACTGAAAATTACAAATAGAAGGCTTAAGATATCTGACATGCCACTGTGTGCCACCAAAATTATTAGGCAGAGATGGGTTATAAATTAGAAAAAAAATGTAATGAGAATTGTCACACCAGAGCAACCCCAGGAATGATAAGTGAGTGCATGAAAATGAGCTTAGGACAGAAACAGCTTCATTAATAAGAACCAACTGCAGGTCCAGCATTTCCTCTCATCCTGCGGTCAGGCCACCAGCTTTTGGGTTTTTAACAGCAGAAGCTTTCTCCAAGTTCAGATTCTCTGGGTCCAACTCAGTGATCTCATATTCCTCTGATAATGAGACATACAGTCAGAAACTCATTGTGTGGATTAGACATCGTTTTTTAACTGCAGGGAGAAAAAAGGGTAGGGGAAGTGGATTCTAAAATCTTAATTGTGCTCAGGGAGTTCTAATTGACAATAAAGTTACCCTGAGACAAACTGTATGCAAGAAAATGGATTGTTTGAACCCTACAGCACCTTTTCTGGGAGTCAGTTAGAACCCTGCCTGTCATGGAGAACATATCAAACTTAAGTAACAATTCATGATTTTTTAAAAAAATTCCCTAAAACCAGATGTTGTGGCCCTAGCTGGATTGGCTCAGTGGATAGAGCATCGGCCTGCAGACTGAAGGGTCCCGGGTTCAATTCCAGTGAGGGGCACGAACCTCGGTTGCAGGTTCCTCCCCGGCTCAGGCCTTGGTTGAGGCTCAAGCAGGAGGCAACCAATCAATGTGTTTCTCTCACATCGATATTTCTCTGTCTTTCCCTCTCTCTAAAAACCAATGGAAAAATATCCTCGGGTGAGGATTGAAAGAAAACCCAACCAGATGTTGTGCAATAATAAATGAACGTAATATAACAAAAAATTAAGGGAGTAAGGTACACTTCTGCTCCGGAACATTTTAAATTTCAAAAGGAATTTTTGGCTCTTATTACACATCTGAGGTACAAAGGCCATGCCACAGATGGTCTCAAAGCACTGATTTTTCCCTTGCTGTTTTGTCCTGTATTCCCCCTTAGATAATCCAATCTCATGTGCAACTCACCTGGCCACTTTATTCATGAGTGAAAACTAGAGAAAGATACAGGGATGTGAATTAAGTTCATGTGCAGAATAAGAGCTACCAAAAGGATTAAAGGGTGAGAACGCTATCATACTAAATACTGTTTTCACCTTCAACATTCAGCATTGAACACTTTGCTAGTCTAGTTCAACGGCAGCACACAAGGGCATGCCACCTCTGGCAGTTACAGCCACCACACTTTGGCAAGTTTTGTATTCAAACGTGGGTTACTGGCTGCAGGTGATTCAGGTGCGAAATCAAATGAAGCCTTAATTGCTGCCACTTTTTAATCAGCATCTAATTAGACCTTTCACCCTCCATTAGCGGAGGGCTATGGCTCAACACGGTTGTGGAGAGGTTTCTGAGAGCCACAGGGTGTCACAACAATAACTCAACTCCTTGTTAATAACTCAAGGGCAGAGGAGCTTTCTTCCAGGACCCCAGACCAGAGGCTTTCAATGACTTTCAACAGACTTTCAATGGGGAGGACGAGAGGTGGCGGCAAGAATTTTTTCAATGCAATACCTGACTACTTAGGGGCACTGACCTCTTTCCCCTTAGATTGTAAAATTTAAAAAATGACAACAGCCAACACAACAACAGCCCATCTGTTGTGAATGAATCAAAATTACACCTTTTTTTTTGTCAGATCGGCAAAAACATGTTTTTTGGTGTACCACAGAAGTTTAGTAATTGTGTGCCATGAGGTGAAAAAGATTGAAAATCGCTGTCCTAGACCTTCGCTTCCCACCTGGAATCAGGAGCTGCAGGAAAGAAGTTGTCAAATCCACTTATCACTGGGGTGACAAAGTGACCAAGGCCCAGCCCGGGAGCAGGTGGGAGGTGCCTGAAGCCCCGCCCCCTCCAGCGAAGGCTCCGGCGAAACCAGAGGAGGCGTGGCCTGTGGGCCAGGGCGTGTGGGCGGGGCCGCTCCTCCACCCTGAGTCTGCTCCTCACGGGGGCGGGGCCTGAAGGCCACCACGTGATGGGGGGGCGGAGCCTCAGCCGGAGTTTCCAGAGGAGCCACGACAGCGGCCCCGAAGCCAGGTCCCGTGCGAGGCCTCCCTCCTCTCACCTGAGCGAGGCCGGGCTGGGCCGGGGCACTCGCGGGCCTCGGTCTCCACACCAGGAACCGTCTTAGCCAGCCTGGGGCTGACTTTGGAGTGGCAGTTGCTTCCGCCTTCTCTCCCGAGGTTTGTGCGCTCTGCCTGCAAGTGCTGGGTTCGGCCGCCAGCCCGGCCCGTTTCCGGGCCTCTCGGAACTCGGCTAACCGCTGTTCCATGG